AGCTAGCTTTATCCCCCAGAGACCAGCAAAGAAAAATCCTGATTGGATAATGTTTTCTCTTCAGAGTTAACCATTTCCTTTCCAACAAAAACTGAAGAGATTAAATCAGAACATCATTTAAAATAATAATATCATTATCATTATATTATTATAATCATTATTTTATAAATCCTTAGCCCCTCTCTGAATGTGTAGAAGGCCCATTGTTCCCCACTGTGTTTGGGTTAGTAATAATTCGTAGAGTGGCTCTATTTTCCCTCAGGTTGCATTTTTTCACTATTCTGAATGTCTAAAGAATCCATATGTTGTTCTGAAATATGAACACAGAAATACTGGACATTAAACTCTTATTATGGTGGTGATTTGACAAAATTACAATCATGGTCTTGAATTGGACTCGCATTTTTCTGGTGTCGGTCTTGACTTGGTCTCGGACCCCTTGACCCACTCTAGGTCTCGGTTTTGACTCTGTCTCGCCACCCCTCCGGTCTTGGTCTTTACTCAGACTCGATTTGCGCTAGTCTTGATCTTGAATAGGTCTCGCTTTAGGTGGTCTCTAACACAACCCTGCCTTTAGTGATAATTCTGGGTCCATGCATTGTGATTTTCGTGTCTGTGCCAAGTAGGCTACGTAGGCTTATCAAAAGTAACTGGATAAGCATAAGAGAGAGATTTCGAGATTTCTCCTAGACACGGTGCTTGGTTCCAGGTTCAATACGAGTGACGTGTATCGTTATACTATCCTAAATTAAATTGTACAAATGAAATAAAAGCATAAATTCACCACAATTTCCAACAGATTAAATATTATTCATCCTTGAATTTAGCTTATTACTAATTATTTAGCAGGATATTATTGTTGTTTTACGAAGAAGATACAATAGAGAGCATAAATAGACCATTGGATTTTCTATTTATATTTTGAATAATGTTTTTCCCAATCACAACTTACTGTTTTCGTGTGCATATTGGCTGCCTATAGTGATGGTTATAGTGATGGTATAGCCTACACTCTACAGTTCTGCTCTCTCAACCGTGTGTGCGTGCATGTGTTTTGTTACTGATTTACTGGCTTACTGGAAAACATATGTGTATTTCAATGATGTGTATAACCCCTGGATGACTAACAGGGGGAGCTGTAATGAAGCCACCACGCAGCCATCTTGGTACTCCTCCAAAAATATGTTTGAATCAATGGAAATGCATTTATAAATGTCTACATTCGTTTTTGACACGTTTATTCTATTACAGACACCTTAATGCATATTTTTTAAATTATATTATGTGAGCTAAACATACATTTTTTTAATTCAATAATATAGTAAAACATTTTCCTACAATTATTTTTTTTGAGAGTACAAATGTTACTGTCCCCACTACAACAACAAAAATACTTAAATACATGTCATTTTGTAGAATTCCATTCATTCCTATGGAGGACTGCTCCTACTGCGGTGTGCCAGTATGGCCGACCGGTGGCTTCAAAGCCTCTCTAGCATGGGCTCGTAGCAAATGCTAGTGTCGAATGGTCAATACATAGCATCAACAATCCAGGGTTTATATACAACTTCGGTGTATGTAGGTTAGGTTCAGCCTGTTCTTTTTTTATGCGTCAGGTAATTAATCCGCATGAAATGGTTGGATGAAACCTGGTTAATGACCCACAACTACCAACTGTATTTCAAGTAAGATAATAGCCTAGATCCTCAAGTTATTTGTTCTTATTGTAAATCACCAAACCACTTCCCTCAGTGTGTCTTGGTTTTAATAATAAGCATCGATTACGCTTAATTTCGTTGAAGGTAATCATGATGGCTAGCTAGCCTTTTGGGTGCAAACGTTTAACATCTACAAGAAGGTATTGGGGAAGGCCTGGTTAGCCTATGAACAATAGCGGTCCAGTGGTGAGAATGAATGGTTGTATTCTGAGACCTCTTGGTCCTTGTGCTTTACCTATAAGATGGATTTGTTAATCGCAGATGTCAATGAACTCGTACACTGAAATATTATATCTAATTAGAGGTGACTGGGTCAACAGCGGTGGCAGAAAAATCGCAATTTACTTGAGTTATAGCTTCATGCTTACTCATTGTCCTAAGGGGTGCTCATCTGATTCTACAAGAGAAGGTGCACTAGCCCACTACCATTTGTAGGCTACGTTCTAGCAGGGGATCAAACACTCGTTTACTCAAATTCAGCAGTTTATACTATTTCAATAGTTCTATTTCACTCGAGATAGTTTGATCGTTTGCTTTATTATATATTTTTTCTGGCTCTTTTTATTTTCGTTACTAGGCAATGTATATGAATAAAATAAATAACATCCTAATTTTGTCCCTCAGTTTCTATCAAATGTACCTTTATCCACTGTAGGCCTACATCCATCAACTAATCTAATTGAATGACCCAATGTTGACAGTCTAAGTAAGGACATTTTCTCCACACTGTATTTAAAAGTCAAATGCATGTTTTCAATACACTCGACAATCAGAGTAATTGAATAATCTTGGGGGAAAAGTGTAATGAAAATGAAAGTGTACGAAGGGATGATTCCCTTGCCACACCGGCCTGGATGAGAGGATGGATGGAGGGTGGTGGGTGTAACTGGGACACCTGGCATAAAGACGTGAAGGCGGGTTTAGCGCTTGTGGGGCTGGTGTGGGGAGTAGCCTATTCCCAGAATATCCCTGCTGCTCCCATTTAATCAACTTGATGAGTGTTTTCATTTGACTAAACTACATTTCAAACATTAAACACACAACGGCTTTTGTGGTTTGTAGGCCCTTTAGTATTACAATGTGTATTACAATCAGCTTTCGCTGAAATATCATATCACCATTATGCACATTTAACCGAATATCTTCTCCTTTTTAGACATTGGTTCAACTATAACCTAGTAGGCCTATATTGTCAGTCTGCAAGTGATGGGCCAACTGATTTGAGTCTTGTGGGTAGTAGGCTAGTATTGATATTGATGTGTTTATGTTTTTTTTACAGCTGCGGAAACGAGTTTGTAGTTGTACAAAAACAGAAAACGAAAGAAAATATCAGAGACAGGTATATAGAAACACGTGACTGTTCGTGTACCTTTAGGGGCAGGATAGTGTTAAGCTTACCAACAATAGCTGTATAAGCCGCCTTTTGGGTCGACACAATACCCTTTGGAATTGACTCCCTTTATCTTTTTGCATCCAGAAATTGTAAGTGTGTTTAAATCCAATAACGATGGATGTTTTAGTTGATTTTAGATAAACACCAAAGGTGGTTAAAACATGTTTTTGAGAGGGGTATTTTAGTCCAATTGAAGTGAATATCCACCAAGTAACGAGATAATGATGGCAGTAATTTAGCTGTAATTAGATATAAGGTTTTGTCCGTTTTATTCCGATTCACTTGAAATGACACAGGCTATGGTGGACGCAAGGTGAATAGAAAAAAACATATATTACTTATGCCCCAAATATATATTATAATCTTTCGTAATTGTTGTATCGGGACAAAATATTGTACAGTTATTGTGCTCATTATCAAAATGATGTTGATAATATAGGCTATTATTATTATTATTATTATTATTATTGGTGTTATTTTTTATATATTGTAATTACCTAATTCAATTATGATTAATAGGCTAAATATATTATTTTAATGTTACAAATGTTCAATGTTCATGATCATTATTGTAAACACTTGTTGTTATAGTAGTAATGGTGGTACGGGTTAGGGTAATAGCAGACATAAACCTGCCTACATGCTAGTTATTTTGTATTCAGATATTCCGAGATTCAGATGGTCGGCTGCTTGTACAATTTCGTTCAACCTGAGTAAAATAGGACTGTAGGCTATTGTTTATCTGAACGCGTGGGACGCGGACGGAGCAAACACCGTGCATTTTATTTTATGCTTGAAGAAAATTGGAAGCGAAGATTGAGTTCATCTAGCTTGAACTAAGAACTCTCCGGAGGGAATATCTTATCCGAGAGCAGTCTCTCAAACGCGGAATTGAAATTAACACTGTCAGAAGGATTGTGCTTGGACTTCTAATACCTGTCAAGGCTCTCTGACAACAGGTCTTCATTACAGTCAGGTTACATCCTATTCATAGAGATCAGACACAAATATTGCGATTTTGTCCAATCAACAAAATGTAATTAATATGCTGTTTTAGCCTACACACCATCGATGTCTTTTTGTATGCTATCGGCAACCAGATTCAACAACTCGTATCCTAATAAATAGGACTTTCTTTGCCTGAAGGTTTAGAGCAGATAAAAACATTTACCCACATGCAATTTACAGACAGGCTAATTGTCAAATCGTTGACAATATGAGGAAACTGATTAATTTCATATCTCTGTCATATCAGAGCAGGTAGGCTATGGATTCGGCTGTATAGACTAGTTGGCCTATAGGCTAACGGTTGCTCAATGTCACATTTCACGTCTCTGAAGACTGATTTGGCATACCTGACTAGTGCAAAGTCTATCAAAGCATATTGTCATTTTCAAGTGACCAACGTTTTACCCTTTCAGTTATACTGACAGAGAGACAATGCTACGAGCAAAGCAAGCCTGTATTTATTGATACTATCCTAAAGAAGGTCCCGCCTTTCTGGTGGCATTCTGTCTCGTCACCACTTCTTCCTTCTTCTCACTGCACACCTGCTCTCACAAGCAGAATTCTTCCGCCCATTTGAGGCTTGTCCGAGGATCCCATTGGTCCCGGGCGGTGCCCATGCTAGAGTGTCGTCATGGTTGCCCCTGCAGTGTGAATGAATCAAGCAGCTTGTATGATCCACACCAAAAGAGCACGGCGAAATCCGGCACGCACAGGACAATATTCCAGGATAATAAAACATACCGGACTTTAACGGGACAGCTAGATCTACAGAAGGGTCCATACCCTGTTTCTATTTGATATATTCTACATTTTTCACTAAATAAACGGGAGCTTTTGCCCACCGTGTATATGTGTGTGTTTATTCCCCGTTTTGGATCACAATGATGCAAAGTGCGGCTGTTCTACCAACAGAGAGTCCTGTGAAGGGTCTACCGGAGATACTCGGAGTGCCAATGCAACGTAAGGCTTTTCCACTTCCTTTTCTATTGATTATATCATAAGGACATTGGCAGGTGAGCTCTGAAATGCTGCAGGGCACTGCTGTAGAAAAATATTCAGAGGTTAATTACACTGCGTTGAGGGACAGGACAGACAGGCTAATGAAGACAGTGATATTATTCTACTGGCTCATATGTATTCATATTATTATGACTCTTACTCCACTGACTCATATGACTTGTATTTCATATTATTATTTGAAGTGAGGATATTAGTTGCATCTCATTTTGATCTTCTGGTCCTGATATGGAATTTTGTGGAATGCTGTATGGATAGAGATTCTTTATCACAAGAATGTATTGTTTAAACTGTGCATTTGTACTGCTCACAGTGTTGTGTTTCCCAACTCCAGCCCTATGCACGAGTTGTACAAGCAGGTTTTACACTATTTTAGAAGCCCCATGTGCACAGGCCTAGGTTATGACGTGCATAATAGTTTACTCATCAAGACACACACACTTTATTTTTTTATTAGCACAGGAATATTTATATTCTCTACCTCCAGCGCTTTTTGTATTCTATTCCCTCGAGCTGTGTGAGAGGTTTGCCTCTGGTTTACAATCAGAGACATGCTAGACAGCTGTTTATTTGCAAACGAGTCTGGCCACGGACGAGAGATCAGACGTTGTCATCACCTACTCTCCATACCCAGCTGGTTTGACTGACAGCTATTACTGAGTCATATCCGAATTATCCAGGCTATATATGTTAATGTATGCTTTAATGTTTCTGTTGTAGCTGTGTTTTGCACTATTGTAGGCTACATAATTGTACAATTATGTCTGTCTTATTATTGTTTGACACATATATGATATTACACAGCCTACTAAAACAGGTGGTTTTGTCATAATTTCTATAAAAAAATGAAAAACGTGAAATATTTCACTATATTGTGTGTGCAATAACTAGGCTACCTCAGCATCAAAGCAAAGAATTACCTATCTTCGCATCTGCTCTTTATCGCCGTCATGTTAATCTCTAGGCCCTTATAATCTGATCATGCTATCAAGATGGAACTGGAATTTGATAAATTCCTGACCTAATTATTCATGTGCGAGCCACTGGAATGTACAGATGGACCTATTATGGTATTACCTCTAATGTTGCTCTTAATCCACAATTAAATATTTCTTTATATCGCAGATCCAAACGAGCCATTGCTTCTTTCAGCGCTGGAGAGTATAAAAAAATAAATATATATTATATATATATTTTTCAAAATCTAGACTAATTTCTTACGATTTAGTACATGATTGTATTCCGTTTTTTTATAGCGTGCACAACAGAGTTAACCCATTTAACCCATTTAAAAGAGAGACTGTCAAAAACTGTCTCTTGTATTACTTAATACGAATTTCATTTAGGCTAGCCTACCTTATTGATAAAGATAGTGAAACATAATGCATAATGCACAAAGTGAAACATAACGCAGAATTGTGAAATATAATTTGTTTAACCTATACAAATAGCCTATATATTGGCGGCGTGTGCTCTTTAATATTGTACATCGAGGGAGATTAAAAGATTGGGTAAAGATCTTGCCACTCAACCCCCCTTGGTGCATACATGCTGGATTTAATACCGGATTACTCTACGAATAAAAGCTATTTAGTATTATGTATCTAAACATTGTTATCATGATTAATATGGTTGTTAGCATGCTCTTACGATAAGGGTAATTATTCTTAAACCGTTTTTAGCACAAGAAGCAGATTACTTCCTAAATATAGTTTACAGTCTGCTTGCTTTGAAGTGTAGGTCATGCAATCTACAAAGCATATCAACTATAGGCCTATGAGCTCTATAGGCTATGAGCTCGTTCCCTAATACTATAGGCTTCGTATAAAGGTGTTACAGTACAGTTATTCCGATACTGTGGCTAATAAGCACATGACTTGGTTGATATGATTTTGTCCTGTTAAAAAACAAAATTAGTATCCCTATCAGACTGGTGGGAAATGAGCATCTGCTTATCGAAATACAGCCGCCTAAAAGAGGAAAGGAAGCGTATAGGAACACATTTTCTTAGATTTGAGGACACCTCTTGAGGCACAGAAGAGATCTGTGGTATAATCGTGTGATTTATAAGTCAAGCAGAGAGAGAGCCAGACAGACACAGAGAGAGAGAAGAGAGAGAGAGAGAGAGAGAGAGAGAGAGAGAGAGAGAGAGAGAGAGAGAGAGAGAGAGAGAGAGAGAGAGAGAGAGAGAGAGAGAGAGAGGAGAGAGAGAGAGAGAGAGAGAGAGAGAGAGAGAGAGAGAGAGAGAGAGAGAGTAGAGGCTATTAGGCATCGAGGCCTACTGCCAAGATTGGCAACATGCTGGAGGCCCTCGAGCTATCCTTTCAGCACCACCACTCCCGCCAGAATCTAATGAACAAAAGCACCACAAATCAGAGGAATTATTTCATATTTTGTGGATGTAAAATACACCTATCTTTAATTTCAGTTTTGTATTAACTCTTATTGAAAAAACATGTACTCCATAGTTATCGTATTTGATTCTGAAGTTGATTGGGAAATAAATACCTGTTATGCAACTGTATGTAGGCTAATGCCACATCACAATAGTACAATAAAAGATATTGAGCTTTGCATTATCTCTTCATTTATTTAGGCCTACACCTTAATACGTGTATCGTTAAATGTATCCCTCTATTATTTGTGCATGCGGCTTATGTGTGAATGTTGTTGACTGAGCAGCCTTCCAGAAACTATAAATATAAATAGTACAATTGTACTCCAAAAATGTCTCCCAACGTACAGAATGAAGAAGCACATGTAGGATTACTTCTCGTGACCTCTACAGTGCACATTTAAACAGCTTGGTATGGGTGTGATTAGATTACTGATTAGACAGTGTGATTTAATGTATCATTCATTTAATTTAAAACAACAACTAGCTTGGGATAGGCTAATTGCAGATCTTAGATACAGTGAAAATATTATATTGCTCGAGCACAGAAAAAAATCACCTGTCCAATTGTTTTGCGCACAGAACGCTGCTTAGGCCTATTGCATCCATTTGTATGAGTTTGAAGGGTCCGTTCTAATTTCGATCTCATTATGTCCTCACCGCTATTCTAAGATATTGAAAATGCTATTTTCCATGAGATGCCTCTTCACCTGGCCATTGTTCACATGGTAAATATAAGCTAACATTGCACTGACGACAACGGAGATTGAGGGAAATTACTTCCGAGGTTTCATATTCTCAAATGAAAAAAATAAGGCTATATAATAATAACAATAATATGTATTGTTATATCACATTGTAATACTTCTATATATATATTTTTTAGAAATATAATAATAACTCTTAATAATTATTTGGTTTTGCATAGCCTAATCTTATATCAATAGTGACGCTGTTCTGGTGTTAGGCCTACTGGTAATGTTGATGGTGATAACTAATGGAGTATTGTGGTGATAATGGTGTATGGTTTTTAACACTATTAGTGCTCCTACTTATAGGCAAGTTTTCTTCATTCATGCCATTATTACTCGGTTTAAGATAATACAAATCGAATCAGTGGGGTCCAATCAAGTCCACTTCAAGGCTAAATATTGTGTCACCAGCACAGGCACTTGATTAAAAAAGCAGAGTAAAGGAATGGGATCAATCTCAACCAAAGTCGAATGAATGGCATGATGACACCATTTACTCTGTCAGGCTATGTTTTTATCGAGGTCGAATATAATGATGAGGAATTACATTACTGTTTAAAAAAAAACATATGCTCTGCTCACCTGTTTCCTTGCAGTATTCCAGGACCAGGATATTGTCTTAACGCATGGTGTGTATTCTCTCTCTCTCCCTCCAGAAATCCCCCAGTGTGCGGGCTGTAGTCAACACATCCTCGACAAGTTCATCCTGAAGGTGCTGGACCGCCACTGGCACTCCAAGTGCCTCAAGTGCGCCGATTGTCAAGCGTTGCTGGCAGACAAGTGTTTCTCGCGGGCGGGAAATGTGTACTGCAAAGAAGACTTTTTCAAGTGAGTTCAACTTCTTCATTTAAAAACGCATTGTATGGGAATTTAGAACATTTGATTATATCAAGCTTAATGGAATGTAAAAGTGATGTACTTTTAAGCAAAGCTAGCATTATATTTAATTGCCTACATTCAAGTGAGCTAAAAAATGCCAACATGATTGCACTGGCTTGGACTTGTGAAATCTGTGACATATTCAGTGGTGTGTGGTGGATGTTGCTTAGGTCTGAGGAAAGGGTTTGGTGAGCATATTACTATATTACTCACAGATTAGATTTGATCTTATTCAGGACAATAGTGTCAATGACAGTGGCATCGGCAGAAATCCGTTGATGGCAGGGCCAGCAAAAATGTAGGTGGGCCAAAATTTGGGCATCAAATGATCACAAAAGCATTAGCCTACCCTACTAATTGATCGCACACAACAAACCATCTTACGTGATTTTGCATTACAAACCAAATAGTCTTGTTGGCCTACCAAAATCCATGACTCTTGCATTTTTATTTAACTATACAAGTCAGTTAAGAACAAATTCTTATTTACAATGACGGCCTACACCGGCCAAACCCGGACAACGCTGGGCCAATTGTGCGCCGCCCTATGGGACTCCCAATCACGGCCAGTTGTGATACAGCCTGGAATCGAACCAGGGGGTCTGTAGTGACGCCTCAAGCACTGAGATGCAGTGCCTTAGGCCACTCGGGAGCCCATGTAACATGCGACTCACATAGACCTACACATGATAAACCATAGGCCTATAATTAATAGACTATGAGACTAGAACATAATGCCCTGATATAACAGTAATAATCACAATAGACATCCATAGCTTATATAGAGGTCACCAACCTTTTCTTTGTCGAGATCACTTCATGAGTCAAAATGCAACCCGCGTGCAATTCTCTGCTGGGTGCGGGAGATCAAGTGTGCCTACAATGTATTGTGTGATATCAACTGAATGATCAATAGCCTATAGGGCCTAACTATAGTGCATGGGCGGAGAAGCACAGGGCAAAGTTATATTTCCAATTAAATTCCTGAAAATGATAGGCTATTTACATTGACTGGAAATAAATATTGTTTCATGCATTTCCTACTTTCATATATAATAAGATAGGTCCGATTTTCTCCATGTAGGCCTACCCCTTATCATAAATAACGTAGAGTCCCCTAGGCTATATGATAACACTGGTAATAGGTCAGTTGTTGTAGCCTATTACTTGCGAGGCACATTGAAATAAATAGAAGAAAAAAAACATTCACTGGACTGATGGTCATGTCTCAGCGAAGGGTGGGAGAGAGTGCGAGTCGAAGTGGAGAAGCCTGTTTCATGATTTCTAGTGTTGAATAAAAACAGTGTTGTATTGCTGATCATTGTCTCTGAATGTACTGAAAGTGTCTTTAAGACCCTCGATTAGATCAATGCAACCAGTGACTGATATAGAGGGGGACTGGAGGCCCTTCATGGCGAAATCACTGATATCAAATAACTTGGCAAATGCTCCAACATCCTCTTCTGTACACGGTCTCTTGAAAAAAATGTAACAGTGAGCTTTGTTTGGCCATTTTACTTGAGTCTTAGCTAGCTAGCTAACGGTGAGTAGCCTACACAGTGTAGCCTAGCCTACACAGCGATAGCTACTGTTTACCGCACATGGTATCAGTGCGAAGTGACACGTGCCAGAACCACCCATTATTTTGAAATTGATAAGGTTATTTTATTTTTAATTTTTTACAATTCGTCTTTTTGTTATTTTTTCAGGGTAAATAATCAAGCATAGTTCAAATTAATTACATAGGCCTAGATAAAAATGTATTTTATATATAGCACTAGATTTTATGTAAGATGTCCTCAAGTGTCCTGAAAGGCATCTGCCAAATCAAATGTATTATTATTATTATTGTCAATATATATCCCTTTCGTTTTCCCACCCCCTCCATACTGCTTACTATGAATTTCGTCTGATGGTGTATGCATGTTTAGGCCAATGCTTGACCTGGACTGAAATAGGTGCCGGTACTCATTTTGGGTCCGGTACCATTTATATTTAGTTGCAGGAACTCCTCAATTCTTTTGAGCTAATATTCTATAGGAGGTGCAGGAACTCCAGCAGAATAACATTTGAGGTGCCGGTACTCAGTTCCGGTGAGCTCCTGCCCAAGTCAAGTACTGTGCTTAGGCAAAAAGACAAATAATGTCCAGTTTGGAACACTGACAATCGGAGTGGGTGGGCCTGCGCCAAATTTACATTTACATTTACATTTTAGTCATTTAGCAGACGCTCTTATCCAGAGCGACTTAGCAAATCATGCGCACTTGTGCCTATGCCCCTGGTCAGTGAGGACTTTCCTCTTTGCATAGTTAACTTTCATAATGTTAGAGAAAAGGCTTGTGTCAAGACTTAGTGACATGACATTTTTTACATTACATTTTAGTCATTTAGCAGACGCTCTTATCCAGAGCGACTTACAGTTAGTGAATACATTTTTTTTATACTGGCCCCCCGTGGGAATCGAACCCACAACCCTGGCGTTGCAAACGCCATGCTCTACCAACTGAGCTACATCACTGCCGGCCATTCCCTCCCCTACCCTGGACGACGCTGGGCCAATTGTGCGCCGCCCATGAGTCTCCCGGTCGCGGCCGGCTGCGACAGAGCCTGGATTCAAACCAGGATCTAGTGGCACAGTTAGCACTGCGATGCAGTGCCTTAGACCACTGCGCCACTCAGGAGTTACATGACCAACACAATGAGGTAAATCAAGCTCAGCATCCTACAACATCCTTCTGCCTTTCTGTCCATGTTGAATACTTATGTTGGATAAGACAGAACACATAACACTCAAACTTTCAACTCCAAAGACACTCTATACAAATTCAATTTATTACTGCTCTACAAGCCCTAGCTGGACACACACAACAGCAACTTTGAATTTATTCTCTTCCCTTTCTCTACCTTTTGCTTCCATCTTTTTGCGATTGAATTTCTGAGGCATTAAAGAAGAAAATTAAGTTGGACTTTTATCCAAAACAGGATCCGGACAGGCTTTTACTAAATCATGTTTGAGAGGTTTTAATGTCAGAAGCTTCAATGAGACCTAAAAAGCTTGCAAGTCAGAGAGTGGAGGCTAACTTTATTAGGCGGCCCTGGGGACAATAGGGGGGATTTTTTTATGTTAAAACTGCAGTGGTGCTGTGCACTAGGGGGACGGGAGAGAGGAAGCGGAGAGGGGATAATGGTGATGGTGCTGAGGCGGGGGTAGTATAGTGCTGGATTTCCCAGCCGTGATGAAGAAACTTCACCTTGGTCTGAAGGAAGGGTTTATTTCTCTGTATAGGCTGTGTGATTTACAGCCCCTCCTGAGTCAGTGCTTTATTGGTTCTCTTCAGTGTGTTTACTCAGAGCTCTCTCTATTGGATCTCTCAGCCCCCACTATACCACTACATTGATCCAGGCCATTCGTCAACCTGAGGACCAGCCTACCACCAACACAAATGCATTCCACCACTGATCCATTCCACCACTGATGCTGTCTGAACTGACTAGGGCTGGATCTACCTGTTCTGGATGGGGTTTGAGTATCTGACGGCAGGTGTGTATGTGTGTGTGTTTACTTGCAGGCGGTTTGGAACAAAGTGTGCGTCGTGCCAACAGGGGATACCGCCGACCCAGGTGGTGCGGAAGGCCCAGGACTTTGTGTACCACCTGCACTGCTTCGCCTGTGTCATGTGCAGTCGGCAGCTGGCCACTGGGGATGAGTTCTACCTCATGGAAGACGGCAGGCTGGTGTGCAAGGAGGACTACGAGACGGCCAAACAGAATGGTAGGTGTCTGACTGGGCCATCCTCCTATTGCTTTGGCCACTGTTTTCTGTGAATAATATTTTGTGTGAATAATTCAGTCCTGTCTCCTTGGTAACCTGTTATATTTAGAACATTCTCACCAAATAGACTTGAGACTAGCAGCCTCAAGCTGGTTCACCCATGTGGCATGGTGCTCTAAATGTCTGCTGGCACCTGCTGGGGAGCTTTGGAGAGAGGTGCAGGAATTAGGAGCCTATTCAAAAGCATCCAGACAGGGAGTTCAGCAGACAGCAAGGTGCAGTTAACCAACCTAGATTCAGGGGTAGATGTAACATAGTCAACGAAAATCTGTGAGACTCAAATTAGTATGATATGTTACCTTTGGTATGGTATGTATTCATTTGTAGATTTTCATCATCCATTTTGAATGATACGTTACGAATTACAATTTGTATGATATGTTACGAATGATAATTCGTATGCTATGTTATGAATTGCAATTCGTACAATATGTTACCCATTTGCCTTACCTATGATATGTTACGAATTCCCATTTGTTGTGCCTAACGCTAACGTTAGCTAGGTGGCTAACGTTAGCTAGGCTAGGGGTTAGGGTTAGGGGTTAAGGTTAGGGTTAGGGTTAGGAGTTAGGTTAAATGGTTAAGGCTAGGGTTAGGGGAAGGGTTAGCTAACATGCTAAGTAGTTGCAAAGTAGCTAAAAAGTAGTAAGTAGTTGCAAAGTTGCTAATTCGCTAAAAGGCTAAAGTTGTCCATGATGAGATTCGAACACACAACCTTTGGGTTAATAGATGTTTGCGTTATACGTATGATATGTTACAAATTACAATTCCTATGATATGTTGCGAATTCAAATTTGTTGTGGCTAACATTAGTTAGGTGGTTTGGTGGCTAACGCTAACGTTAGCTAGGTGGTTAGTTGGCTAACGCTAACGTTAGCTAGGTGGCTAACATTAGCTACGCTAGGAGTAGCTAAAAAGTAGTAAGTAGTTGCAAAGTTGTCTGTGATAAGATTCCAACACGCAACCTTTGGTTTGCTAGACGTTCGGGTTATATGGCTACCCATTCACCTTGAACAATCACCCTCCTTTCGTTTTTGCCTTAAGTAAACTGTCTTATATAACTATACCAAACGTAACATATTATACTAATTTGAGTGTCCCGTATTTCTATTTACTATGTTATGTCAAGTCTATGAGACCAGCCTGCATGAACTCCTTTATGTATAATAATACTGAAGAATTGACGGATCACAAGAGACAAGAGGATAGTGAAGAGACAGAATCATCATAAACCCAGCCGGATGGGGTCACAGTGTCTCTCAGTGTCCTGCCTGGGCATTAAATCTCCAGTTTCTCTGACCTTTTATGGATCTGATTTTGAAAGCTCTGCCTGTGTGTTTATGGAGATTTACATGGCCCACTGATTGATTATGTTAAGTGATGCAATGCACTTTTACGGTGGGCCCCCAATAACTCCGTTCTTCTGGCATTCTCCTGGGAGATTTATGTCCCCTGCAGTGGGACAGTTTCAAAAGGGTATTTACTTGCCATACATGACCACTCAGTCCATTCAAGCAAGTTCTTCACCTGTATTTACTAGTCAATATACAACATGGAAAACCCACAGGTTAATTTCAATAAAAAACGTTAGTCACAAATATAGTTAAATATCTAAAAGCTATTCTATAATCCTTGCATGTCTTTCTCAGATGATTCAGAGGCAGGTGCAAAGCGACCACGAACCACCATCACAGCCAAACAGCTGGAGACCCTTAAAATCGCCTACAAGAACTCTCCCAAGCCAGCACGCCACGTCCGCGAGCAGCTCTCCTCAGAGACGGGGCTGGACATGAGAGTAGTGCAGGTGTGTGCCTCACAACAGGATTTCTAATAACAAGCTGAGCAGTTGTCTAGTTTGGACTAGTTTAAGAGAACATCCTAGTGATAATATGTAGATATAGACACGAATTAGAAGAGTCAAACCTCTCTTCTGTATTTACTAAGAAATGTATCTTATCCCCCAATGGCAGGTGTGGTTCCAGAATCGTCGTGCAAAAGAGAAGCGTCTGAAGAAGGACGCAGGGCGGCACCGTTGGGGTCAGTTCTACAAAAGCGTCAAACGTAACCGAGGGGGCAACAAAGTGGAGAAGGAGAGTTCAGCAGATGATGCGGGACTGAGCGACAGTGAGCTCAGCTTCAGAGGTCAGTATGGCTAACCCAACCCCAAACCTCTTTCATATCTCTCTCTCTCTCTCTTCCTCAGCTCCTCCTCCTCTTCCTGTCTTTCTTTTCCCATTTCTCCATGGAACCTACATGAAAAGAGAAACTTTGGCCGTGCAAATGACATTTAACACATCCCCATGTTTTTATGGTTATTTGATGTTTGTGAGCCCGTTTTGGGGACTCATAAAAGTCTCAAGACACTTTTAAAAGGAGGCCATTTTTACGAGAAATGAAAACACCGTAGCAGAAACTCTATAAAGTAGGTGAAGCTTTTAGTCAATTAGAGGGAAAGTGCTCTGGGGCATTGTTGTTATTGAAACAGTACTGGAGGGACTGTTGGAGACAAATATTTTGTATTGCATGCACAGACCCCCTTTGTTTGAGCTTAAGGTAAATCATGACTCTTTCGTCTCTTACTAAACGCTGGGGGAACACTATTAAGCACTACACACCTATGCCATTTACCTAGATGAAATCCAGATCATGTTGCCTCAATTAAATGGTTTCATAAAGGCACTTAATTCTATTTAAAGATAACAGCTGTATAATGTTGATATAGTTGATGACAGCTCCATAGAAGTGTTAAAACACCACTGTGTGGCTAATTGATAGTAGCTAACTCCCTCCTCTCTTCCACCAGACGACCAGATCCTGTCAGACCTGGGCCACACCAACGGCCTGTATGGGAGTGTGGGCGACGTGGCCAACGGAGGCTTGTTGAACGGAGGCTTCTCTCTGGATGCTGCTGGACAGCCCTATCATGACATTCGAGTGGGCAGTCCCTACGGCCTCCCCCAGTCGCCCTCGTCCATCGCCTCGCTGTCCGGCCACACCCCGCTGCTCAACAACCTGGGCTTCACCATGGACAGCATCATGGCCCAGGGGGGGCAGGGTGGCGTGGGGCAGGCTCTCAGGGCCATGGCAGGAGGCCCCACCTCTGACCTTTCCACAGGGAGCAGCACGGGCTATCCAGACTTCCCCACCAGCCCTGCCTCATGGCTGGACGAGATGGACCACTCCCAGTTCTGAGCTCCACCATGAACACAGCAGACTGACTGGGGAACAGAGACAGACGAAGCAGGCTTTTTACATTTCTATTTCCCTGAAACTGATATAGTTTGTTGTCCAATAATGGATGTGGAAGTGGTAGGCATGCCAGACAGGGTACACGTCAGCTACCCTCCCACCACTACAGAGTAAAGGAAGTATGGAGACCTACCACTGACCAGAGCAGAGCAGTGACGCCACACAGAACAGAATGGAAGAATGAAAACTACTGAATGTTGAAATTACACTGTATTCTACTTTTTTTATGGATTGATTTTTTTTCATTCTTTGCAAAAACTGGATTTGAAATTTCCAGCATGAGTTTGTGCATTGGGATGGTGTTTGCCCAAACAGCTATCAGCAATGTACAGTGGTTAGCTAGCTTGGAGGAAGTATTTAGTGTTGTGTGCATTGCGTCTGTGCACATAGCTAGCTACCATCCCATAGCTCACATTGCAAATTAAGTGTGACTGGCTCATCCGTGGATGTACGGAGAAAATGCCATATTTGTTCCTTTTTTGGGGGGGCTCCCCCACGTGGGCTTCATGCACTCTGATTGGCTCAAAGTCAAGTTGTTGGCCACTGACGAGCATTGCGATTCTACAAGTAGAAACGGTAGGTTCGTCGCTACCGGGTCAGCACGCAGCAGGTACCGCTTTTGTTCTAGCAAGAGAAGGAACGGCATCCCACTCCTCCTATCAACAGTGAGATTCTCGGTGAGTTTCATGCTTTAGGGCCACAATCTAAATGGAATCCTTAAAAAAGAAGCTTCCTGCATGCTTCTGAGTGAGGAGGATCACTGTTCAAAAGCATTTTACAATGCACTTTACACTTCTCTTTGTACATGAACAGCAACAAACAGAAGAGAGATGAATGCACAATTCAACCCAGCAGTGTTTCCATATTAGATTTTTTTTTTTTAACAGTGTCACAAGTCCCATGCTAAGTTTTTTGATGTAATGCTGAAACTAACAGCCCTGGGTTTTTAGGAATTACTAGATGTTGGTCCAGCTGTCTGTACAGTGTGTGAGCCACAGATTCTTCTGTGTGCAAAAGGGGGAAGTTGAGAGGGGGAGGTTGCTTGCTAAAAACCCATTATCTTCTGTAATGTAGGTGCTTGACTTGTTCTTGTATGTGAATGATCTCTAGTCCTGGGGGCTTTTGTCAGTATTTATTTATCTGTTGTCCATACTCCCAGGATATGCCCTCTGCTAATAGTGGATAGGCTCTCTGCTAGAAGTCATTGTGATCCAATGACAGTAGGGTAGAGAGAAGTGCAAAGTCAATACAACAACAACGTGGGAATTCGCATTTGATATCCTATTTTATTGGTGCAGCTGACAACATGGGGAATCCTATCTCAATTTGACACAGGAACAAAATAACGGTTTTACTAAATGTTTCATTAATACAGTATATTTATTTATCTGAAGAAAAAAAACACACCAACCTAATCTTGACTGAGGATCATTCACTGTTAATGCTGAAAAGCCAGTACTGATCCTGCTTAGAAGCTGCTCTTCTCTGTCAACAGCTGTAGCATCACTCCTCAGAGTAAATACAAGCAAAAGGGATTATTTAACTTAATACTTAGAGCCACTGTAAAGCATCTGATGGCCTGATTGTCATGGTATCTGAATATGCTGTCATGTCGTGCATCTTACATAACCCCCACTGGGTGAGATGAGAGGTTTTTACTAAATCTGTCTTGTCTGATGGTGTTGGTTTCAAGGCTTTCATGTAGTGTCTACAGACCACCATAGTAACTGTACAAGGAGGCACTTCCTTGAAGAACAAAAAAAAAGATCTCAGATGCCATGAAATAAACGGAGGTAACAAAATGAGATGCAGACAGAACAACAGAACAATTCCTGTAAAAATCTCAATGTCTGTTCATTTATATTTATTTTCGTGTCAATTGCCAAATGTGGAACCAGCTGAAAAGAGCATAGATTATGCCAACCAGAAAGCAAATCAACAAACAGAAAAACAACACATGTAAATGTACACACACACACCAATATAATTTTTGTTCAATCTATGTTGCCTCAGAACTTTGCTTCTTAATTGTTGTACATTTTGTACAGTTTCAAAAGGTGTATTTCATCAGCTCTATTTATTGCCATGTGTCTTTGCAAAAGATGAAACAGAGAGCACTGAATCTATTCATATAAGCCTTCTGTGCAATGGTATGAACTGTGTACAGTACAAAATATATGAGGAAATAAAGCTGAATTGTCTTTGGATTAAAGCGCTGTATTTCTCTTGAATGTTTACATTAACTTTCTCATCATAAAGCAAATAGCAGATACAGTTAGAGACATGTCTTTTGACTGAAGAAGACAAGCAACAACTCAGCAGTAGGAAGGAGGTACAGTAGCTATGGTCCACCACTTAGGAGCCAGGAGAGAAGAGGACCGTGATTAGTGTTTCCTTCACATAGGGAAAGGTGTGTCAGACAGGCAAAGCAATGCCCTCGGGATTGTTCACTCAAATTCCATCATTTGTCAATCTTGTTCTTACCTTGGAAGTAGCATATGGGCCAGGAGTGACTGCCACCTATGATTCATTTGTTATTCCTTAGCTATGGCCATGCAGCCTTGTACCAGATGGATTAACGCTGATACCGTGGTAGCAAACCATTCATGTAAGCTCACAACAACAGGCTGGCTCGCGAAGCTAATGGCCATGCACCACTGGATAAGAATAGCATCAATTACCGAATATTACTCACTTCAGTAGAGTAATCCCATAGGATTGTAACTATGTGTTTATTGAAAATGTAGTGAACATTATTTTCACTATAATCTTACTTTGAATGAACTATCCCTTTAAGGATGAACTGATAAAAATATTACACGTTCAATGATGGAGATCCAGTCAGTCAGTCAAACAGACTGTATTAACCAGTGGTGGGTGTTGGTTTTCTGTATCTGCTGGTCCTTGGTTGGTAGTGTTTATTCGTAAACCAATACACCAACCCCCCTCCCACCCATAGAAGAAAAAAAACAGGATGAAGCAGCACATCTGCTCAGCTGCTATGAACACAGATCCCTCTGCTACTAAAGACTGCACCAGATTGCAGTTTTGCACAGTCAAATCTTTCCTTAATCCCTGCACTGTTACCTAATTGTAAACTGCCTTGTGAAATATGGATAAATATGATTTGTGGTCAGGCAAGATAGACAGCAGCGTTAAGTATGGCATAAATACAGGAGTGTATACAACCACACATCATAGTAAATGAACCGAATACGACCAGGCTCAATTTTAAGTTCCTTACAATTCAGCATCACTAAAACCCATGAGCTAAAGGAGTGTTGTTGGATAGACATCTGAAATAGGCCTAGACTGGCTACATATTCATAGTCAAATGAAGACAAATGTAAAAGTCAATAATATACAGTACAACCGTTATCCAGCCCTTTTCTGAGTCATAGCAGGTCTGTCCTAAACTTAAGTATTATTGATTTGGTTGTGTTTTAGCTCCTGTTGTGTAACATGAAGAAAATATCAATCTAGCAGAACAAGCACGTTTGCATAAAACAAGCTGATTTTATTCAGCCAATGACAAGCCATGACTATTAATGGATAGCTTTTAATAGTGCTGCCTTACAAAGATAAACAGCGATAAAGACAGTTAGGATAATTTACACGGCACTTACAGCACTAGTATACAAATAAATCTGGGAAATTCCTGCAGTTGCTTTTGCAAAGATGACAAACACAAGCACAAATGCCATTATCATCGATCTGAGGCTTCTATTACAAACTTCTTGAAGGCAACAATTCTATGTTCTTTCTGAAGGAAAGGACTAAATTAACATGTAAATAAATATTTGGTTCAGACTAAACTTAATCTTGGACATCAAGACAGGATATCTTTCTCCTCAAATTATAGTTTATTTGAATGATGAGCAATGGCTGCCATGACAGTGTAGCTTTAAAGGGGTTTGAGTCACAGAGAGGCTTTTCAATGACAACTTCAAGGTTGTTATTCTGTTTTAAGTGAAATTAGGTTATTTTCACTGGGTCATTATAGCAGAAATTAGATAGTTCACATATAATTAAAGCGAGGGAGGGTCATTAACAGGATATTGGCCTCAGTGCCTGTTGAGGTGTTGCTTAAAGAACATTCTGGTGAGAAGAATCATATAGACACTTGTCTGTGGGGCAGCTTTGATCACTATCACCTCGAGTAGCAGCAGACGGCAACGCGTGTTTATCATGCACTAAACACACGGCTTTGCAACAGAGACTTATCGAGTTCTCTTGAAGATATTAGAGGGATGCTTTTTAACAGCAGAGCTGGGATTTTGCTTACTTTTGAATTCCAAGCAATACTGTTCTGGGGACGAGCAAGCAGATTGCATTAAGTTTTGGCCAGTACAACAACATGCCATTGCTTTTAGCTCCCATACTGGGGAGAGTAAGAGGGACAGAGAGAGAGGAAAGTGCTCCAGCTCATCCCTGTAACAACCCTTGGCCATCTGTCACTAATGGTGTTAGAGAGGCGACTTGTAAAAATGCATAAACGTTAAGTAAAGAAGGTTGAGTGATATGGGCTGCGATTTGAGAGGAGGCACTGTCAAAAGTGAAAAGCTCAGAGAAAATTGAGGCCCATTAATGGAAACATAATGGGCTTAGTGTCACAGTTGTGCAGACATGCCCATGGAGTCTGACGTCACCGACTCCTACCTCAACGCGATTCAGGAAATTACTGGAAGATGGGCGAAACAGCCTTTTAAAATATACCAACAGTATAATTCCTGGTTGTGTAGGGAATGCATAGCAAGCTGAGGGTCATAAGAGCTTTCTCTCTCTCAGTGATACCGCAAGAGAGCAGACTGTCTGGGCTGGGCCATCTCTGTTCTGTATACTGGGGCCATGGTGACTGACTGACAGACAGCAGTCAGCCTGGCCAGGCCTCTTTTTGGTGACTGTTATTTAATGCCTCATGTTCAGGGAGATTTCAAGAGAAAGAGGGATTACAGCTTGTCCCCATTGTTTGTTCAAATATGCATTAGCTTCTTTATCAAGCGGTGGTTAAGAGCTGAGATTCCAGATTGAGTATTCTCATCTGGTTGGAGGGAGGGGGTGCTAAAGAGACTGCTCTGATCAGAAGGGCTTACAAAAAACTAAAGCAGATTTGGAGGCAGCCCATGTGTTGGCTATTTGGAGAACATCCAAATATATTTTAAGTGACATAACAGAGAGTGTGGGTATGTGGGGTGGGCCAATGGAGACAGAATGTGCTAGGTAAACAGTTCACTCAAATGAAGAGGCCTGGCCAGGCGATGTCTGTGCTATATACAGTTGAAGTCGGAAGTTTACATACACTTAGGTAGGAGTCATTAAAAACTAGTTTTTCAACCACTCCACAAATTTCTTGTTAACAAACTATAGTTTTGGCAAGTCGGTTAGGACATCTACTTTGTGCATGACACAAGTAATTTTTCCAACAATTGTTTACAGACAGATTATTTCACTTATAATTCACTGTATCACAATTCCAGTGGGTCAGAAGTTTACATACACTAAGTTGACTGTGCCTTTAAACAGCTTGGACAATTCCAGAAAATGATGTCATGGCTTTAGAAGCTTCTGATAGGCTAATTGACATAATTTCAGTCAATTGGATGTGTACCTGTGGATGTATTTCAAGGCCTACCTTCAAACTCAGTGCCTCTTTGCTTGACATCATGGGAAAATCAAAAGAAATCAGCCAAGACCTCAGAAAAAAATGTGTAGAACTCCACAGGTCTTGTTCATCCTTGGGAGCAATTTCCAAACGCCTGAAGGTACCACGTTCATCTGTACAAACAATAGTACACAAGTATAAACACCATGGGACCACGCAGCTGTCATACCGCTCAGGAAGGTGACGCGTTCTGTCTCCTAGAGATGAACGTACTTTGGTGCGAAAAGTGCAAATCAATCCCAGAACACAGCAAAGGACCTTGTGAAGATGCTGGAGGAAACCGGTACAAAAGTATCTATATCCACAGTAAAACAAATCCTATATTGACATAACCTGAAAGGCCTCTCAGCAAGGAAGAAGCCACTGCTCCAAAACCGCCATAAAAAAGCCAGACTACGGTTTGCAACTGCACATGGGGACAAAGATCATACTTTTTGGAGAAATGTCCTCTGGTCTGATGAAACAAAAATATAACTGTTTGGCTATAATGAAGGGGGTTGCTTGCATGCCGAAGAACACCATCCCAACCGTGAAGAACGGAGGTGGCAGCATCATGCTGTGGGTTGTGCTTTGCTGCATCATGAGGAAGGAAAATTATGTGGATATATTGAAGCAACATTTCAAGACATCAGTCAGGAAGTTAAAGATTGGTCGCAAATGGGACTTCCAAATGGACAATGACCCCAAGCATACTTCCAAAGTTGTGGCAAAATGGCTTAAGGACAACAAAGTCAAGGTATTGGCGTGGCCATCACAAAGCCCTGACCTCAATCCTATAGAACATTTGTGGGCAGAACTGAAAAAGCGTGTGCGAGCAACGAGGCCTACAAACCTGACTCAGTTACACCAGCTCTGTCAGGAGGAATGGGGCCAAAATTCACCCAACTTATTGTGGGAACTTGTGGAAGGCTACCCGAAACGTTTGACCCAAGTTAAACAATTTAAAGGCAATGCTACCAAATACTAATTGAGTGTATGTAAACTTCTGACCCACTGGGAATGTGATGAAAGAAATAAAAGCTGAAATAAATCATTCTCTCTACTATTATTCTGACATTTCACATTCTTAAAATAAAGTGTTGATCCTAACTGACCTAAGACAGGGAATTTTTACTAGGATTAAATGTTAGGAATTGTGAAATTGTTTAAATGTATTTGGCTAAGGTGTATGTAAACTTCCGACTTCAACTGTAGTTGTTAGTCATTATGGGATAAAGTTGAACTTTTATTTCTCCATGCTCCATCTGAATATAAAATTGCATATTAGATGTTTATTTTTAGGACGCGTTTAAATATACATTTACATTGTCTTTTGCTTGTCAAGAATGATGTAAATGAAAAGGCTTAAAAAGCATTCTTCTGAATAATAAAATAAGTTTGACTTACTACTAGGGTAGAATGTCCATACGCTATCCCAATGTCTTTTAAAGATTTTTAATCAGCAAACACAAGACAACCAAAGGTAACACACAACATCTGAAAAAGTCAGAAGGAACTGAAGGATCCTCTTTTTGGTTGAACTTATTCATTTTTTAAATAGCAATGATGATGGATGGATTCCTTGGAATGTGACATGAGAGATGAAGTTGTGGTGTGTTGCACTGTCAGAGTGGGAAGACCATTGCACCTATCCGGTGTATATGACAATAAAAAACATAACATCATCATCATCATCATTACTGAGAGGGTTGGATGCTAGGTCTGGGGTGGGCACAGGCTAGAGGGGAGGAGAGGGAGGGGAGGGGATGGCGAAGCTGGGCCTAGCCATTGGAGGCAGTGTACTGGCGCAGCAGTGAGGATATGGTGCTGGATTCAGTGACCTCCTCGGGCAGAGAGCCCTCCTGGTCCTTAACGGAAGGGTCTGCCCCAGCCTGTAGAAGCAGCTCCACTATGTCAGCAAACTCACACGCAGACGCTGCAGGACAGAGAGGGGGAGGGGAGGAGGGAACAGAGTAGGGTAAGAGAGAATGAGAGCGAGAGTGGGGGGAGAGGAGAAAGGGAGAGAGAGGGGAAAGAGATATAATTGTGATGCACTTCAGAGGTAAAAGTATCCAGGGTTGACTACAGGTAACATGCCATGAAAGCAGCTATTTCCATATATCATTTTGGGCGGTATGACAAGAATATACACTTATCTGTATATCTTACAGTACCCAAAACACTAATTGAAAAGGATCACCTTCAAAAGGCTTCAAGGTCACTGGAGGAGACATGATGCACACAGCTACGTCTAAACCAGCCTCTAAGCACAGCTCATTGGTGTTTATATTCCTTACGTTTTTAACCTGAGTGCAGAAGTCAATGTAAAGCTCATATGGAGGCCCTGAACCTATGGTTGGCTGAAACACTCAATTTGTGCCAATTGGCAATTGGTGCCCCACTAAAAGGACTTGCAAGCTAGGCTAAGATATGAGGAGAGGGCTTGCATTTTCTTAAACCAGTTAGCGAGTCACAGCGCTGATGCACCTAGATTCCTTCGTGCTCTGAGTGTTTGTCTTTGCCAGTGTCAATCACTCTCTCCTCTTAAAGAGAGCCATCCTGCTCCTGTGTGATGGGCTGATTGACAGCAGGCCCTTTTAAACCTCCAGCCCAGAGGTGGCTAAGGTGCCGCCCGTTCTTAGCAGGGAGAAAAAAAAGGGGCTTGGTTATGTCAGATTCTAGTTTTTTTTTCTCCTTCTAAATTGTATTTTATTTTCCGGGCTGCGTGCACCGTGCGGGGCCTTGGGCTGTAAAAACCCTCATCCCCCCTGGGAGTCGTTGAGTAGGAGAACAATTTATAGTGTGCAGTAAACCCTCAATTAATCATTTGCCAGCCACTGTGGCCCAGTGTAAATAGAGGTGGAAATGAATTTTCATTCTCTGCTATTTGTCTCCTGGAGTTCATCGCTTATGTTTATTGGTCATTTTTTTATGCCCCATCCTCCTATCCCTGCCTGGTTTGGTGGCAGTGGTGGTGGTCTACTGTACGCCAGCCACGTGCCCAGTCCTCACACCGCAGCCACCCAGCCCAGCCGAGGGCCAGATGGTGTCCCCCCACACACACCAAGGGCTCAGAGGACATTGGGACCGCCCATGGGAGGGGGTCTTGAGAGTCTGAGGAGCACTGTTAATTTCCTTGGGGAGACCTGGTGATTATTACACACAAACCCTCCATACGCACAGATACAGACAGACACACACAGATAGACCATAGTATAGACACACACACACCCTCTAACACTGACAGAGAGAGATGGAGAGAGGGAGGGATGAAAGAGACGCTGATGGATGAAAGGCACCTGAGATAGCAACAGCAGTAAAAGAGGGAGAAGAGAGGGGGATGAGAAAGAGGGAGAAGAGAGGGAGAGGGGGACAGATGCAGGGCCAAGAGAGCAGATGGTTCATGGTTCCCCATCCATCCTCATACAACTGTTCACACTCATAAACAGATGCAATTTACATTACATGTACATACACTACTGTTCAAAAGTTTGTGGTCACTTAGAAATGTCCTTGTTTTCCATGAAAACATACATGAAATGAGTTTGAATAGGAAATATAGCAAAATGCATAGGAAATGTAGTCATTGACAAGGTTAGAAATAATGATTTTTAATAGAAATAATAATTGTGTCCTTCAAACTTTGCTTTCGCCAAACAATCCTCCATTTGCAGAAATTACAGCCTTGCAGACCTTTGGCATTCTAGTTGTCAATTTGATGAGGTAATCTAAAGAGATTTCACCCCATGCTTCCTGAAGCACCTCCCACAAGTTGGATTGGCATACGGTCAAGCTGCTCCCACAACAGCTCAATAGGGTTGAGATCCGTTGACTGTCCTGGCCACTCCATTATAGACAGAATACCAGCTGACTGCTTTCTTCCCTAAAAAGTTATTGCATAGTTTGGAGCTGTGCTTTGGGTCCTGCTGTAGGAGGAAATTGGCTCCAATCAAGCACAGGGTATGGCAGGCGTTGCAAAATGGAGTGATAGCCTTCCTTCTTCAAGATCCCTTTTACCCTGTACAAATCTCCCAGTTTACCACCACCAAAGCACCCCCAGACCATCACATTGCCTCCACCATGCTTGACTGATGGCATCAAGCACTCCTCCAGCATCTTTTCATTTGGTCTGCGTCTCACAAATGTTCTCCTTTGTGATCCGAACACCTCAAACTTCGATTCGTCTGCCCAGAACACTTTTTTCCAATCTTCCTCTGTCCAGTGTCTGTGTTATTTTGCCCATATTAATCTTTTCTTTTTATTGGCCAGTCTGAGATATGGCTTTTTCTTTGCAACTCTGCCTAGAAAGTCAGCATCCCGGAGTCGCCTCTTCACTGTTGACGTTGAGACTGGTGTTTTGCGGGTACTATTTAATGAAGCTGCCAGTTGAGGACCTGTGAGGCGTCTGTTTCTCAAACTAGACACTAATGTATTTGTCCTCTTGCTCAGTTGTGCACCGGGGCCTCCCACTCCCTTTTCTATTCTGGTTAGAGCCAGTTTGCGCTGTTCTGTGAAGGTTGTAGTACACAGCGTTGTATGAGATCTTCAGTTTCTTGGCAATTTCTCGCATGGAATAGCCTTCATTTCTCAGAACAAGAATAGACTGACGAGTTTCAGAAGAAAGTTCTTTGTTTCTGGCCATTTTGAACCCACAATTGCTGATGCTCCAGATACTCAACTAGTCTCAAGAAGGCCAGTTTTATTGCTCCTTTAATCAGCACAACAGTTTTCAGCTGTGCTAACATAATTGCAAAAGGGTCTTCTAATGATCAATTAGCCTTTTAAAATGATAAACTTGGATTAGCAAACACAACGTGCCATTGGAACACAGGACTGATGGTTGCTGACAATGGGCCTCTGTATGCCTATGTAGATATTCCATAAAAAAATCAGCCGTTTCCAGCTACAATAGCCATTTACAACATTAACAATGTCTACACTGTATTTCTGATCAATTTGATGTTATTTTAATGGGCAAAAAAATTGCTTTTCTTTCGAAAACAAGGACATTTCTAAGTGACCCCAAACTTTTGAACGGTAGTGTACATACAAACACTCATACACAAACATAGCCTACATAGACATATTCATCCGGAAATCCAAATGAAAATTAAAATCTCTGATATCCGGAAGATTACCATAGTGTAGTGCTGTCTGGCCCTCGTCATCCTGTGAAAAGAGAGTGAGAAATGTTAAGAAACCTGAGAAGAGCTAAAGACAAACAGGTCTAACTTACAGACCCATAACACAGTAATAGGGTATATTACATTTACATTTCAGTCATTTAGCAGACGCTCTTATCCAGAGCCACTTACAGTTATTTTTTAATGTTTCATACTGGCCCCCCGTGGGAATCGAACCCACAACCCTGGCGTTGCAAACGCCATGCTCTACCAACTGAGCTACATCCCTGTATATAAAACAAGTTTAATCATAGAGACAATAACCATTGCTCTGTTTGTCATAGAACAATGAAAGAACCTTAGCCTTGTCAGTTGTAAAGTTGTGGCTTGCAAACTTTGCAGTTGAGAAAACTATGTTATTACCTCTTGACTAAATCAAAAACCCAATAATTTCACCATAAAGAGGATAATGTGAAAATATGAAATATTGATCTCAACCTGAGCAAACGATTAAACCTTTCAACTTGAGAGAGACTCTATAGCAGCCTGAGCCAGTGGAACCAATGGCATTAGCCCAGTATCCACCCGAGCCCTGGCTGAGCCCTCTCTGAGCCCTCCCTGCCACATGTTAACACAATGTGGCCAATGGGCCGGGCAGAGCAGGCAGACCTCCGTGCTCAAAAGGCTCAGAGGGAGGGTGACACGGCCAGGGTCGAGGAACAAAGCCTGGGCGTCTCTCGTCCTTGTCCTGGGGTGAGAACGTGCTAAATGCATTACCCATGGAGGCTGTCCCATCACACAATGGTCTTGGTACAAAGGAGCAGTCTGCCCTGAGCACAGCCACCGTTTGGGACAAATTGAAGTGGTGTCTATGGTCTGTGACCGGAGCTGAGCTGATATGAAGAAAGACAATATTTAGGACAGGGGTCAGCGGGGGTGGAAATCCTGTGGACTATGTGTGCAGGCGGCATGAGACCGGGAGTGAGGTCAGTGTAACTCTTGACAGAGTATGACACGCATCATCAAGGGGGATTCAGCTCCAGTTTGCCTTTTCACCCCATAATGATGACAAACTGCAATATTGTTGTCACCAGCTAGCTGCAGGATCAGATGAGAACAATTAGAATACCTCCAGTCACTGAGCTAACTGGCTAATTCTTTAGAATCAGAATCACCTTTACTCGCCAATACATTTACATATCCTGAATTTGACTTAGTGAATAGGTGCTGCCAGCAATAGACATTGTACAAACAGGGTCCCGTGTGCCTCAGTTGGCAGAGCATGGCGCTTGCAACACCAGGGTTGTGGGTTCGACTCCCACGGGGGACCAGCACGGAGAAAAAAAGTATGAAATGTATGCACTCACTACTGTAAGTCGCTCTGGATAAGAGCGTCTGCTAAATAACTAAAATGTAAATGTAAATGTTAGAATACAGATGTCAACATACAATATAAATACAGTAAAGATAAAACTCTGGAGTATAGTCTGATTACAGTGGGAATACAATTGAATCGTGAATAATGATGAGTGAGAAAGTTACACGCACAAATATCATACCCCCCCAAAAATGCTAACCTCCCCTGTTATTGTAATGGTGAGAGGTTAGCATGTCTTGGGGGTATGATATTTGTGTGTCTAACTTTCTCACTTATCATTATTAACGATTAATTCAGGACTATCCTTAATCATGGTAGCATCCACATTAATGTAGAAGTGTTTAGAAACATCCTATTCTTATTTACAATAAAAGTGACTCCAAAATAACACAATACATTATTTACCATTCATTTCTATTGGGCACAAAATAATCTGAAACACAAACAGCAAATGCATCCAACAAGTTTGTAGAGTCACAAGCTTGATGTAAATCATTGTGTGATAGAAATATGGGACCAAATACTAAACTTTTGACTACTTCAATACACATAAGTAAATTTGTCCCAATACTTCTGGTCCCCTAAAATGGAGGGCACTATGTACAAAAAGTGCTGTAATTTCTAAACGGTTCACCCGATATGGATGAAAATACTCTCAAATTAAAGCTGACAGTCTGCACGTTAACCTCATATCATTTCAAAACAACAAAAAATGTGTCACTGTCCCAATACTTTTGTAGCCCACTGTATATACAGTGCATATACAGTGTTGTGCAGACGTGTACATAGTGCAAATGCAGTCTAGTGCAGATTAGTATTTGAGGATATTGATGACAAGGTGCAGTCATTGTCTCAATGCAAAGTCACTTAATCCCTTACGAAAAGTTACTTAATCAACTGTTCAGGTGGCGGGCCGTTTTGGTCATGATTGACCTAAACTGTCTGCCAGAGCGGAATCTTTGAAATATAAGGGTTGGTTGGGTTGGCGATGATCTTACCTGCACGCTTCCTTGTCCTGAAGGCGTGCAGGTCCTTGACAGGCGATGACCTTCTCCGCAGACCGGACGATGCGCTGCAGTTTGCCCTTGCAGCGGGCAGACACAGACCCAAACGGTGATAGAAGAGGTGAGGATGGACTCAATGAAGACGTAAAGAACCGAACCAGAACTGTCAGAGAGAGTTTGAGTTTCCTCAGCTGGCGCAGACAGTACATCCTCTGTCGAGCCTTCTTGGTCACCACTGTGATGTTGTCCTCCCACTTGAGGTTGCTGCAGACAATGGTTCCCAGGAATTTGAATGATTTGGCCGTGCTGAAGGCAGAGCCATCAATCTCGAGGGGGAGAGATGGCGGGCGGCATTTCCTGAAGTCAACCACCATCTTCACGGCTTTGACTGTGTGGAGTTCCATGTTGTTGCGAGGTAAGGTCTAAGGCTTTCAAAACCTGACTATCAGCCTCCAACATAGCCGCAGGAACAGCCTTTCTGTTACTTATAGATATAATTAAGTGTACAGTACATTCGGAAAGTATTCAGACCACTTGACTTATTCCACATTTTGTTACATTATAGCCTTATTCTAAAATGGATTCAATTGTGTTGTTTCCCTCAATCTACACACAATACCCCATAATGACAAAGCAAAAACAGGTTTTTCTAAATTTTTGCAAGTGTAATAAAAATAAACAACGGAAATATCACATTTACATAAGTATTCAGACCCTTTTAGCAGCGATTACAGCTTTGAGTCTTCGTGGGTATGACGCTATAAACTTGGCACAACTGTATTTGGGGAGTTTCTCCCATTCCTCTCTACAGATCGTCTCAAGCTCGGTCAGGTTGGATGGGGAGCGTCGCTGCACAGCTATTTTCAGGTCTCTCCAGAGATGTTCAATCGGGTTCAAGTCTGGGCTCTGGCTGGGCCACTCAAGGACATTCAGAGACTTGTCCCGAAGCCACTCCTGCGTTGTCTTGGCTGTGTGCTTAGGGTCGTTGTCTGGTTGGAAGGTGAACCTTCGCCCCAGTCTGAGGTCCTGAGCGCTCTGGAGCAGGTTTTCATCAAGGATCTCTCTGTACTTTGCCCCGTTTATCTTTCCCTTGACCCTGACTAGTCTCCCAGTCCCTGCCGCTGAAAAACATCCCCACAGCATGATGCTGCCACCACCATGCTTCACCGTAGGGATGGTGACAGGCTTCCTCCAGACGTTACGCTTGGCATTTAAGCCAAAGAGTTCAATCTTGGTTTCATCAGACCAGAGAATCTTGTTTCTCCTGGTCTGAGAGTTCTTTAGGTTCCTTTTGGCAAACTCCAAACGGGCTGTCATGTGTCTTTTACTGAGGAGCGACTTCCGTCTGGCCACTCTACCATAAAGGCCTGATTGGTGGATTGCTGCAGAGATGGTTGTCCTTCTGGAAGGTTCTCCCATCTCCAAAGAGGGAACTCTGGAGCTCTGTCAGAGTGGCCATCGGGTTCTTGGTCACCTCCCTGACCAAGGCCCTTCTCCCCCGATTGTTCAGTTAGGCAGGGCAGCCAGCTCTAGGAAGAGTCTTGGTGGTTCCATTCAATGCTGCAGAAATGTTTTGGTACCCTTCCCCAGATCTGTGCCTCGACACAATCCTGTCTCGGAGCTCTACGGACAATTCCTTCGACCTCATGGCTTGGTTTTTGCTCTGACCATGCACTGTCAACTGTGGGACCTTACATAGACAGGTGTGTGCCTTTCCAAATCATGTTCAATCAATTGAATTTACCACAGGTGGACTCCAATCAAGTTGTAGAAACTCAAGGATGATCAATGGAAACAGGATGCACCTGAGCTCAATTTCGAGTCTCATGGCAAAGTTATTTTTTATATATCTGCAAACATTTCTAAAAACCTGTTTTCGCTTTGTCATTATGGGGTATTATGTGTAGATTAATGAGGAAAACAATTAATTTAATCAATTTTAGTATAAGGCTGTAACGTAACAAAATGTGGAAAAAGTCAAGGGGTCTGAATACTTTCCGAATACACTGTATAACCCCAATCAGACCATATTAGGCACCATTAAATATCTGCAAATGTATGGGTTTAAAGTACAAGTTCAATTGCCAAGGCAGCAGCTACTCTTCCTGGAGTCCAGCAAAAATTAAGGCAGTAATATACATTATAATAAAAAAATTTAACATATTTAACCCAAGAAAGTTATTGGTCAACTGCAAAACATACAGAATGCTGCAGCACGGGTACTGACCAAGACCAGATGGAGAGCACACATTACACCGGTTTTAAGGTCTCTGCACTAGCTGCCTGTGACTTTTATAATTAATTTGAAGATTCTTCTATTGGTTTTTAAATCAATCCACGATTGTGCACCCCAATACATGTCAGACATGCTTTTAAGTTACAGTGCCTTCGGAAAGTATTCAGACCCCTTGACCTTTTCCACATTTTGTTTGGTTAAAGCCTTATTCTAAAATTGATTTCAATCTACACACAATACCCCATAATGATGAAGCAAAAACAGGATTTTAGAAATGTTTGCTAATTTATTAAAAATAAAAAACTGAAATATCACATTTACATAAGTATTCATACCCTTTACTCAGTACTTCTTTGAAGCACCTTTGGCAGCGATTACAGCCTTGAGTCTTCTTGGGTATGACGCTACAAGCTTGGCACACCTGTATTTGGAGAGTTTCTCCCATTCTTCTCTGCAGATCCTCTCAAACTCTGTCAGGTTGCTGCACATCTATTTTCAGGTCTCTCCAGAGATGTTCGATCGGGTTCAATTTTTTATTTATTTAATCAATTTTAGAATAAGGCTGTAATGTAACAAAATGTCGAAAAAGTCAAGGGGTCTGAATACCTTCCGAAGGCACTGTCTGTACCCAGTAGGTCCCTCAGGTCCTCTGCTGGCACTGGCCTTTTAACTATCCCAAAGCCTAGGACCAAGAGGCATGGAGAGGCAGCCTTTAGTTACTATGCCCCCAGCCTCTGGAATAGCCTGCCAGAGAACCTGAGCGGGGCCGAAACTGTGGACATATTTAAAAGAGATCTTAAAAAACACCTTTTTAGCTTTGCTTTTCCTTAGGGTGCTTTTTAGTCATTCAGTTTTTATTGTTATTCTTTAGTTTTTTATCTTCTTATGTTTGTTGTGTAGTAAATATTTGTTTTTATTTTCACTGTTTTTATTTGTTTTTTTCCTGTGAAGCACGTTGTGTTGCATTCCTGAAATGTGCTGTATAAATAAAGCTTGACTTGATTTGAATATCAGTAAATCCTATTTTTCTTAGCCTTTGGCCCTAGCCTATTAACCAGTGAAGACAACCATTAGTGGAACCAACCCAGTGTCAGACAAAGACTGTCGAACCATCCCAGAGCATGAGGGGGAGGGAGATCTCCTACGCTGCTTGATAAAAGGCTCTCTCCAACGATCCCAAAGTGAGATCCTATTGTTTGCCCTGAGCAGCCCCACTTCAGAGGCCTGCTGATTCCATTAGAGTTCAATTCCCCCAAGATGGATGCAAATGTCCTCAACCATAAATGGTCGGGAGAGACACAGGGTTTTCTTATGGTCTGCCTCGACGGTCCTGTTGAGTATTCAGTACAATGTCAGTGTTAGGTTTACTCAGCTAAAGCTGCAATATATCATGAATGGGTATTAATCCCACTTGATGTGCGAAGTATAATTATCAAATACACATAAAAGTACAAATCCGGACAATAAAAGCATGTCAGTGCGCAGACGGTCTCTCACACACTATAGTTGGTCTGTTGCCCTATACAATAGAGGCAGAGTGGCAGATGTTTAGTGCAAAGGCAGCGAGTGGGACCTTGATGCACACAAATACAGGAATAATTAAACTGTAAGGGGTTTAGGTCTTAATCTGCTCCAACTAATCTGGTGTTAGTCCCGGACGGCTCGGACAGCACGGTGTGTGCAGGGACACTCCCAGGGTATGACAGGGAGGACACATGCAAGAGTTGGCTCATACAGTACATGACACACACACACACACATACACAGACACATGGGGCGGCGTACAATTGGCCCAGGGTAGGGGAGGGATGTAGCTCAGTTGGTAGAGCATGGCGTTTGCAACGCCAGGGTTGTGGGTTTGATTCCCACGGGGGGCCAGTATGAAAAATAAAAATAATAATGTATGCACTCACTAACTGTAAGTCGCTCTGGATAAGAGCATCTGCTAAATGACTTAAATGTAAATGTAGGACACTGCAGGTTGGTGCACTACTGTGACTGACTAAAGGGTCCCTGTATGTTAGTGGAGGTGGGGGCTCTGCCCTTTACAGGGCTCTTTAATGGGCTGCAGTGTGGAGGCTGTCTGGGAGCCAGAGGGTGGGTCCTCTCTCCTCTCAGCATTTACTAATGCTCCAAGAGGGGCTTGATGGAATCAGGGGAAATTGGATTGTCTCCCATTTGCTTTAGGAAAAAGGAGGAGACTTCCTAGCTGGAGGTAGCAGTTTTCTATGTAGCTCTCCATCCCATTACAGAAGCATATCAGAGCAAAGCTCTTTTTGAAAATGTCACCAAAGTTTTCCTTGCGTTGCAAAAATGCCTCGATGGATGTCAGCATACAGCTTCATAAAGCAGGATCCATAAAACAGATGAGAGGAATGAGTAGTAGGGGGAACATACATACTGGATCTAATGGCACAGAGGGCAATATGGTTTGGAGAGTTTCACCATGGAAATTAATTGGTCTATGTGTGTGATGGCAGTACTACAAAAAGACTCCTTACACAAATCTATCATTCCTTTTTTTCAGATTGAGAGTGGTATGTAACGTTTTTTGGATAGGTCTGCACAAGTGAACAAAACTATATATTTTTGTCTGGCTGCCTTTTTTTCTGTGTGTGCACAGATATAGGATCTTCATTTGATCACTCTTTTGTTGCTGAGAATTACATAAATTCAATGAAAACCTGCACTAACACATGGTTATATTAACAGTATTCCACTTTCCAGGTAGCCTCATTTTGACATGCTAATAGCCTATCCAACGAATAAGCAACATTATGGACTAAACATTAAAATCCTGTTGCTGTAGGATTATTTTACTGCGACAATATAGGTCAAATTCAAATCCTACATCTGTATGTTTGTGAGTCTATCAATATGTCCATCTCTGTTTATCGATTTGTTTGTAGCAGCCAAAACCCTGGAGGATGCGCCAATCAGATTACCCCTTGGAGGGGAGTGCTGGAATTTGCCTTCCTAGTAGCATGGGAGGAAAGAGGCTGCAGACAGAGAGAGAGAGCAAAATGTGAAAGGGACCATAAAACAGAGCGAAAGAGAGAAAGAAATGGTTACAAAACAAGATCTTTCCAGTACACCACAGCAAAGTAGGTTTGTGTCTACATGAGCCAGACAAATTCTGTAGAGAAAAAAGCTCTCTCAAATCCACTGCCATCTGTAGAACCTGCTGCAGCATGAGGCAACAGGCAGGGCTTGGGTTTGTGCTCTCCATGGCCAGCCATTAAAAGCTTTCTTGTTTTCATACCACAGCAATCCGGCAACTGCCCATGGCATATGGTAGGTGTGCTGAAAGCCATTGTGGGATTTCTATCCTTTAACACCATTCTCCAGCTAAATCTTCCTCTCTCTAACCGACGCCCCCATTCTCTCTCCCTCCCTCTCTCTCTCGCCCCCCCCCCCTCTCTCGCTCCACTGTCCCTGACAGCCACATTAAACAAGTGGGAAAAATGGACAAGCAATTATGATTTATGATCAATGCATGCAGCTGCAGCTGACTTTTATAATGACAATGGCGCTGAGGAGAAGGGAGAGAAAGGCTAGGGTGTCTCCAGGGCCTGCAGTGGGACTTGTAAAGGGAGCATCGATAGAATCCGCCGCCATTCATATGCAGATAGCATTATGATGAGCAGGTGCCATTAATCAGAGTCTCAGAAAGACAGACGAGAACGGGCTGATCCCGGATTATTCCAGGTCTCTGACGACCTGCTGCTGGGTACTCTATGGTACTGTCTCTGTTCTCTATGGTACTGTAAAGCAGATCACAGGACACATACAGCACACTGATGGGCTGAACAGATGTCTCCAGACCAAATACAGACACTCTACTGGTCACGACTGTTTGAAGTTCAAGACAGGAGTGGAGTTCTGTACTGCCAGTGATCGTTATATGTTACGGAGCGCATGAACTGGAATAAAAAAAAAATATATTATCCGAATATCCATGATTTTCTTGTAAAAAGAGACAGCAGCGTTTGTTTATCTGGTTTTATGTGTGTGTGTGTGTGTGTGTGAATCTGCAACTCTGGGAATCCAGTGGTAAAGGGATCAGGAGAAAGGGGCACCCCTAATTGAATATGGGCCACCTCCCTGGGCAGTGAGTGTTAACCTTGCCATTCAGCGTGTGAGCTCTACCATGCTGGTGCAAATTAGCGCATCCCCAAAGTGTCCTTGAGGTGCCCGGGCCACCCCTCGCCTGCCTCCGGGCTCCACAGCAGGTCACCTCATGTGCCAATAAACTGCCTCACAGGCTTTCTAAAGCACACTGTAGTATTTTATACAATTCCTGGAGAAGAGGAACCAGAGAGCCAAGACCACTCCACGAGGTCTGATGCTCTTCTCAACTTCCTAATCAACTGAAACCGTTTGGAAATGGATCCTTACAACAATGTCTGCTGGAAACTACTGGGTTTCTGAGACCCAGATCTGTTTGTGTTTTGGTATTTAGATTGAGGTTGATTAAAACCAGTCTGGGGTTGATTTCTAAAGGACCACAACCACAGTGTGCCCACTGCAAGAAAGCAGACAAACATGCATGGAAATCAATACTCTGTTTACCATGCTTTAGTGTCAGAGGATACATTTTTCTCCACAGGTTCTCTGTGATTCTGGAGGATGGGAAAGGAAAAAGGAAAGACTATATATTTTTTTACATCTCCCTTCTTTTCCTCCTCGCGTATACTGTACTTCTCTTCCTCCCCCGCCACCGCTCTCCCCCTTTCTCTCTGTTTCTTATCTCTCTCTCCCTCCCCCATCTCTCCTTCCCCTCCTCTCCCACTGCTCTTGCTTGCTCCCGAGGGACTCCTCAGAATCCATTAGCATGGGTTAGAGTGGCAGGGAATTAACATAGGTGAGCTCCAAGTCGAGTGGATCATCAATGATGTTTAAAAATAAATATCTAAAAGAAATAAATACATAAAAGAGTGTCATATGAAAATCAATGGCCAGGCAGCAGGCATTTGGGAGAGAGGCCCATAGAGTGGGGTTGAGTACTAACTGGACCCTGAAGAGGAAAACAGTCCCTTTGTTTTCTCGCTCTCCATCAGTAAGCAGCTGAGGACAGCTTTAAATGCTCAGTGCAATTTATGTGGATGGTTAAAAAAGATGAAAGACATTGTTGAGTGTACAAATTGTGAGAAGCCAATAAGAAAGGTAGCTACAACACTAACTGCAAAGAGGGACTTTTCTTCTTACCTGCAGCAGGAATATGAGTCAAGTAGCTATTTCTTTACACAGTGCTTCATACAATAAATCCATATCTGTGCACTATCCCACTGGGACTTTTTAAATGGTTGTGGGGCCGTTTTACTTTCATTTAAACATGTGTCATATAACCTCTGCTTGCAAGTATAAATGTCAAATGTTCTGTATGAGTGGTGTAATTTCACACTATACGTCTGTGTGTGGCTGAGCAGAGTGGTTATGTAGAAGGGTTGCTAATGCATATGTTATATTAGAAATAACATTGTAATACCCTATCAAAAGTAAACAGTTGCTTATTACAACTCCTACGATTCCCTTCTGTTGGCACATGATGTAAAGAGCTGTCAAACTGAGTTTCTATAGACCCCTCTTTTATTAAGAAAGCAAACACACAAAACATGTTCTTCCACAAAACAGGGCAATTACCTTTGGCCAAGGTAAAGAAAACATTTCCACCCCCAGCCACTAAAAAGGCCTGAGTGAGTACTGAGCAGTGGCTTGGGAGAGGGTGCAGATTTGAAACGCTGGGACGATTCATTACAGTTTGTCAATGGCCCTATTAAAAGAGAGGAAGCAGGGCTGGCTTTCTGAAATATCTGTATTAATGTGTGCACTGAGCCGTAGGTGTGTGACCCGTGTGCTGTAGCTGGGCCGTGCAGACGAGATTTATTCCTGCCTATGCGGGAACACTGCCATTCTCACGCAGCAGGCAACGGGCCTCCCCTCCCCTCCCCTCCCCCCAACACACACTGTTAAACTTATGACGAATTCCGTTAGATATTTATTATGACTCCGATGACTGAGCCATTTGTTATGGGAGGCCGTGCTGGGAAGGGGGAGGGATACAAACCTGTAATACTACTCCTGCAGTAGAATTTCAATCAGCCGCTGTTGTTCGTGTGTGTGTGTGTGTGTGTGTGTGTGTGCGCGTGTTTACTAGTTTAATAACCAAGGCAGTTGACACTGAGGTGGAGGACAGAGATGAGAATGTTCAGTACACTGGCCTGTATTGCTCTAATAAACAGACCCTGGCTTTGGACAGACCAGGAACATGGCTCCAATTCCTGATCTCATGTGGTCCCATGTAGCTCAGTTGGTAGAGCATGGCGTTTGCAACGCCAGGGTTGTGGGTTCGTTTCCCACGGGGGACCAGTATGAAAAAAATAAACATGTATGCAGTCACTAACTGTAAGTCGCTCTGGATAAGAGCGTCTGCTAAATGACTAAAATGTAAATGTAATGTTGATGCTATACAGTCCAGCTTCACACAGCTAAGGGTACAAAGCTGTGACAATTCTATTCACAATACATTCAAATATCAAATCCACACAGCATAGCATGGCATTGCCACTAACTAGGACGATGCAGCAAACATTTAATAACCCAAATAAAAAAACAGTTGACTTACTGGGAGAGAAGAGTTGTTCACAGTAAGACACTGGAAGAATGTCAATATTGTCATCATACAGTACTTAAGCCACTGCTTGAGGCTTCTGTGCAAGACATAATCCCTAGTCTTAGAGCCCTGCATTACGATGGATTTACTCTATACTGTAAAGAGACCACTGACATCAGGAACCTACAATCAAAGGATAGCCATCTACAGTGCCTTCAGAAAGTAATCACACCACTTGACTTTACCACATTTTGTTATGTTACAGCTTCGATTTAAAATTGATTAAATTGAGATTTTGTGTCACTGGCCTACACGCAAAATCACATTATATCAAAGTGGAATTATGTTTAAAAATAATAGAAAATGAAAAGTTGAAATGTCTTGAGTCGATAAGTATTCAAACCCTTTGTTATAACAAGCCTAAATAATTTCCGGAGTAGAAATTTGCTTAACAAGTCACATAAGTTGTATAGACTCGCTCTGTGTGCAATAATAGTTTTGAACATTTTTGAATGACTACCTCATCTCTGTACCCCAGACATACAATTATCCCTCAGTCAAGCAGTGAATTTCAAACACAGATTCAACCACAAAGACCAGGGAGGTTTTCCAATGCCTCGTAAAGAAGGCTACCTATTGGTAGATGGGTAAAAAAAAAAAAAAAGCAGACATTGAATATCCCTTTGAGCATGGGGGTTATTAATTAATTAGACTTTGGATGGTGTATCAATACACCTAGTCACTACAAAGATACAGGTGTCCTTCCTAACTCAGTTGTCAGAGAGGAAGGAAACCACTCAGGGATTTCACCATGAAAGCCAACGGTGACTTTAAAAGAGTTACAGAGTTTAATGGCTGTGATAGGAGAACACTGAGGATGGATCAACAACATTGTAGTTACTCCACAATACTAACCTAATTGACAGAGTGGAAAGAAGGAAGCCTGAACAGAAAATACATATTCCAAAACATGCATCCGGTTTGCAATAAGGCACTAAAGTAAAACTGCAGAAAATGTGGCAAAGAAATTAACTTTATGTCCTGAATACAAAGCGTTATGTTTGGGGCAAATCCAACACAACACATCACTGAGTACCACTCTTCATTATTTCAAGCATGGTGGTGGCTGCATCATGTTATGGGTATGCAAGGACTAAGGAGTTTTTTTGGGGATAAAAAGAAACGGAATAGAGCTAAGCACAGGCAAAATTCTAGAGGAAAACCTGGTTCAGTCTGCTTTCCAACAGACACTGGGAGAAGAATGGCGCCGGAGAAGATGGCTGCCGTTTTACAGCCCTCTAACCAATTGTACTATTATGTGTGTTTTTCCGCGTTATTTGTAATTTATTTTGTACATAATGTTTCTGCCATCGTCTCTTATAACCAAAAATAGCTTCTGGATATCAGGACAGCGATTACTCACCTCGTATTGGACGAAGATTTTTTCTTCAACGAGGCGGCCGCGAAGGATATCCTACAGACACCCGACAAGGCCCAAATCCCCGTCATTCGCATGAGAAAGAGACGGAGATATCGTGGACGTAGGTCGGGGTGCCTTGTAAGGATCCGACGGCGAGCGAGTAAACTGCCTCTCCCATCAATCCTATTAGCCAATCTTCAATCATTTGAGAATAAATTGGATTACCTAAGATTACGGTTATCCTACCAACGGGACATTAAAAACTGTAATATCTTATGTTTCACCGAGTCGTGGCTGAATGACGACATGGACAACATACAGTTAGCGGGCTATACGCTACATCGTTAGGATAGAACGGCTGACTCCGATAAGACAAGGGGTGGCGGTCTGTGTATATTTGTAAACAACAGCTGGTGCACAAAATCAAATACTAAGGAAGTCTCAAGGTTTTGCTCGCCTGAGGTAGAGTATCTTATGATAAGCTGTATACCACACTATTTACCAAGAGAGTTTTCATCTATATTTTTCATAGCTGTCTATTTACCACCACAAACCAATGCTGGCATTAAGATTGCACTCAATGAGCTGTATAAAGGCCATAAGTGAACAGGAAAACGCTCATCCAGAGGCAGCGCTCCTAGTGGCCGGGGACTTTAATGCAGGGAAACTTAAATCCGTTCTACCTCATTTCTACCAGCATGTTAAATGTGCAACCAGAGGAAAAAAAACTCTAGACCACCTTTACTCCACACACAGAGACGCATACAAAGCTCTCCCTCGCCCTCCATTTGGTAAATCTGACCCATAACTCTATCCTCCTGATTCCTGCTTATAAGCAAAAACTAAAGCAGGAAGCACCAGTGACTCGGTTAATAAAAAAGTGGTCAGATGATGCAGATGCTAAGCTACAGGACTGTTTTGCTAGCACAGACTGGAACATGTTCCGGGATTCTTCAGATAGCATTGAGGAGTACACCACATCAGTCACTGGCTTCATCAATAAGTGCATCGTCCCCACAGTGACCGTACGTACATACCCCAACCAGAAGCCATGGATTCCCGCTATGCCCTCCGACGAACCATCAAACAGGCAAAGAGTCAATACAGGACTAAGATTGAATCGTACTAAACCGGCTCCGACGCTTGTCGGATGTGGCAGGGCTTGAAAACTATTACAGACTACAAAGGGAAGCACAGCCGCGAGCTGCCCAGTGACACAAGACTTCCAGACGAGCTAAACCACTTCTATGCTCGCTTCGAGGCAAGCAACACTGAAGCATGTATGAGAGCACCAGCTGTTCCGGATGACTATGTGATCATGCTCTCCGTAGCCGATGTGAGTAAGACTTTTAAGCAGGTCAACATTCACAAGGCCGCAGGGCCAGACGGATTACCAGGACGTGTACTCCGAGCATGTGCTGACCAAATGGCAAGTGTCTTCACTGACATTTTCAACATGTCCCTGACTGAGTCTGTAATACCAACATGTTTCAAGCAGACCACCATAGTCCCTGTGCCCAAGGACACTAAGATAACCTGCCTAAATGACTACCGACCCGTAGCACTGACGTCTGTAGCCATGAAGTGCTTTGAAAGGCTGGTCATGGCTCACATCAACACCATTATCCCAGAAACCCTAGACCCATTCCAATTTGCATACCGCCCCAACAGATCCACAGATGATGCAATCTCTATTGCACTCCACACTGCCCTTTCCCACCTGGACAAGAGGAACA